GCTGACAAGGCTTCCTGAATGCATTGGATCATCTTTGCCGCAGCTGCGGCGGCTGAAAATTGAACACTCGTGCTTAAGAGAGCTTCCTGCAACTGTGTGCGAGCTGCAGTGTTTGTCTTCGTTGGAGATTGGACCATCCGGGCTCCTAGCATCTCTCCCTTGTAGCATTGGTGCATTGACTCGGTTGCGCAAGCTGAATGTGTCTGGTTGCAGGGTCTTGGAGCACCTGCCTGCTTCCCTCACCCGGCTCACATGCCTTCAGGAGCTGGATGCTTCGTTAACTTCCATTCTTTCCCTGCCCTTCGGATTTGCAAGACTGACCAGACTGAGGCGACTCAATCTGAATAGCTCTCTGGATTTGCAAGCTCTGCCAGAGGATGTGACAGAGGTGAGGATGCTGCGCTACTTGGGTGTGAGATATTGTGAGCACCTTCTTGATAATGAAAGCTGGATACAGCCTCGTGGGGTCTACATGATGTACGGGCTGGAAATAGATCCTGTATTTCCTGATGTTGACCCTTGATGGCTTGAGTAATGGATAAAAGGGTTTCAGACACCTATCTCAACTGTCACATAACTACAAAGCTCACACACCAAAGATCCACAATCTCTATGAGAAAGCTGTTACTTGCCATACAGGATGGAATGTGCATTCTAAGATGTTGAGACCAGAACCTTATAATGAATGGTGAGAGAGAAATGGATTCCCTACATGCCTTCCCAATAATGCGTTTTTGGACATGCTAGTCCAAGACAAGATGGAATTTGGTCTGAGACATGCATTCTGACTCTGATCAATGCAGTACAAGTGACCATTCTGAAACGGGATACACTATTCTGAATCTCATACACACATTGGAACGAATCAACAACCAGAAGGAGGAGAAACAGCCAAGGGCCAAGAGGGAGAAGGTGATGGGAGTGGTGATGTTGGCCTTACACCTACTGAATCGAACCTACAGGGACAGGTAAGCAAAGCAGGGCAGGCAGGTAATGCCGGACAGGCAGGTAGTGCCGGACAGGCAGGTAGTGCAGGGGCAGGGGAGGCACGGAAGTCAAAGGGCGCTTAGTCAATGGGAGCCACATTAGAACTCAGAAGCCCCTGGTCGCTGTTACAAGGGTGAGCACCTTAGCCTTACAGTTACCATGGAGTTCAAGGGATGAGGATAGGGAAGGGGAGGACAGAGGGCAGGGTGGGATAGACGGAAGATTCTCGCTTGTGAGAAAAGCGCAAAACACCCACCTGCACCGTGTAAAGGCGGGAACCTTTACTCGCATGTCTAACATGCCTAGCACGTGAACAGCATTCAGCCAGGCATGATTCAGCCAGGCATGATTCAACCAGCAATGATTGAGCCAGGCATGTTTCAGCCTGGCATTGTTCAGGCAGGCATGATACAACCATGCATTATTCAGCCAGGCATGATTCAGCCAGGCATGATTCAGCCGGGAATCATTCGGCCGGGCGTGACTCAACCAGGCATGATAAAACCAGGAATGATTCAGCCAGACATGATTCAGCCATGCATTGTTCAGCCAGGCATGATTGAGCCGGGCGTGACTCAGCCAGGCATGATTCAGACTAGCATGATTCAGCTAGGCATGATTCAGCCAGGCACGATTCAGGCAGGGATGACTGAACCAGGCATGATTCAGCCAGGCATGACTCATCCTGGCATGATTCAGCCAAGCAGGCATGATTCAGCCAGGCATGCTTCAGCCAGGCATGACTTAGCCAGGAATGATTCAGCCTGGCATGATTCAGCCTGGCATGATTCAGCCTGGCATGATTCAGCCAGGCATGATTCAGCCAGGCACGATTCAGCCAGGCATGATTCAGCCAGGCATGATTCAGCCAGGTATGATTCAACCTGGCAAAATTTAGCCAGACATGATTTAACCAGGCATGATTCAGCAAGGTATGGTTCAGCCAGGTTTGATTCATTCAAGCATGATTCAGCCAGGCATGATCTAGCCAGGAATGATACAGCCATGCATGATTCAGCATGGCATGATTTAGTCAGGCATGATTCATCCAAGCATGATTCAGCCTGGCATGAATCAACCAAGCATGATTCAGCCAGGCATGATTCAGCTAGGCATGATTCAGCCAGGCATGATTCAGCTAGGCATGATTCTGCCAGGCATGATTCAGCTAGGCATGATTCTGCCAGGCATGATTCAGCCAGGCATGTTTCAGCCAGGTATGATTCAACCTGGCAAAATTTAGCCAGACATGATTTAACCAGGCATGATTCAGCAAGGTATGGTTCAGCCATGCATGATTCAGCATGGCATTATTTAGTCAGGCATGATTCATCCAAGCATGATTCAGCCTGGCATGAATCAGCCAAGCATGATTCAGCTAGGCATGATTCAGCTAGGCATGATTCAGCCAGGCATGATTCAGCTAGGCATGATTCTGCCAGGCATGATTCAGCCAGGCATGATTCAGCCAGGCATGATTCAGTCAGGCATGATTCAGCCAGGCATGACTTAGCCATGTATGATTTAGCCTGGCAAAGTTTAGCCAGACATGATTTAGCCAGGCATGATTCAGCCAGGCATGATTCAGCGAGGTATGGTTCAGCCAGGTTTGATTCATTCAAGAATGATTCAGCCAGGCATGATACAGCCAGGCATGATTCAGCCTGGCATGATTCAGCCAGGCATGATACAGCCAGGAATGATTCAGCCTGGCATGATTCAGCCAGGCATGATTCAGCCTGGCTTGATTTAGCCAGGCATGATACAGCTAGGCATGATTCAGCGAGGTATGGTTCAGCCAGGTTTGATTCATTCAAGCATGATTCAGCCAGCCATGATCTAGCCAGGCATGATACAGCCAGGCATGATACAGCCAGGCATGATTCAGCCTGGCATGATTCAGCCAGGCATGATTCAGCCTGGCTTGATTCAGCCAAGCATGATACAGCTAGGCATGATTCTGCCAGGCATGATTCAGCCAGGCATGATTCAGCCAGGCATGATTAAGCCAGGCATGATTCAGCCAGGCATGATTCAGCCAGGCATGATTCAGCCAGGCATGATTCAGCCAAGCATGAATCAGACAGGCACTATTCAGCCTGGCAAAATTTAGACAGGCATGATTCGGGCTGGCATGATTTTATCCAGGCATGATCCAGCCAGGCATGATTCAGACAGGCATGACTGAACCAGGCATGATTCAACCAGGCATGATTCAGCCAAGCATGATTCAGCCAGGCATGCTTCAGCCAGGCATGACTTAGCCATGTATGATTCAGCCTGGCAAAGTTTAGCCAGACATGATTCAGCCAGGCATGGTTCAGCCAGGCATGATTCAGCCAGGCATGATTCAGCAAGGTATGGTTCAGCCAGGTTTGATTCATTCAAGCATGATTCAGCCAGGCATGATCTAGCCAGGCATGATACAGCCAGGCATGATTCAGCCTGGCATGATTCAGCCAGGCATGATTCAGCGAGGTATGGTTCAGCCAGGTTTGTTTCATTCAAGCATGATTCAGCCAGGCATGATCTAGCCAGGCATGATACAGCCATGCATGATTCAGCCAGGCATGATTCAGCCTGGCTTGATTCAGCCAGGCATGAATCAGCGAGTCATGTCTCCTCTTAAGGCCCTCACTCCTCTCATGCCCCCCAAATCCTCTCATAACCCTTTGCTCCCTTCCCCCCCACTCCTCTAATACCCCAAATCTCCTCATTCCCCTTTTTTCCTTCCACCCTCCCCTTCCTCTATTCTCCTCTACTCATACACCCCACTCCTCTCACCTGTACTTCCACACCAGCTTGGCTCTTTTCCTTGTGCTCTTTGAGTTAACCTGAGATTCAGGGGGCAGCTCAAAACACGAGCTAGCTGTGGTGGCGCATATTGGGAATAATCGCTTCCTCTTAAGATTCAGTATTCCCATTCACCAACGTACATTTATCAGAGCCTCGAGCAGTCACCGTTTTGTGTACCCCTTCCCTGGATTCCCTACATTGCCTCCTGCTGCTCCACTGCCAGCTTTCATGGAGCTCTCCCACTCAAGCCTCTGCCATGCTACGGCAATCTGATCCGAGTACAAGTGTTGCTTATGCTGTTCCTGCTTTCTGCCCTAGCAACTTCTATCGGTACCTTGAGCTGCCTTCACTCTAACGGGTACCATATCAGCCTTTCCATGCTTTGGCAAGGCAGCCTATGCAGTTGCTATACGTGCGTTATTTCCTGTTGAAGTTGTCAAGTGCATGGACGCAAGACGCTCGTAAGATGCTCGCATTGTACACATGAGCCATTGTCAAGTGGGTCTGTCGGTCTGCATGAGATGTCACAGTACTCAGTTTGTGGGTTTGCTCCTAGGTGCATGTGTCGGCCACTCTCACTTTCTAATACCAGATACATCAAGCCAAATGTAAGTGCATCTATCCATCACCTCCTATCTCAAACAACGAGGTTTGTGGCTTTATGTCAGCTGGTAGCATCTCCTAGATATCCGTGAGAACGTAACAAGGGGAACCTGCCCCGGCTTTTTGGAAAAGAACCAATTGAATTGTGTTCAGCACTAGGAAGAATTGTTGTGACGTTCGAAAGTGAAGGGGGAGGAACGTGCCGCCACTCTTGGGGAGCAGCAGCAGCAGACCGCCATTCAGCAAACCTCTGCGCAGGCACAAATCGCCATCATCACAGGTACTGTGCGAGGGGCGAGGATACGTGAGTGGTGAGAAGCGGCAGAGCACAGTGCCTGAGAACGCGCCAATGAGCACAGTGCCATATGAGATGAGAGTGAGACCTTGTGCCTTGCTCCTGCTGAATAGGTCCTGCAAAGAGGGAGAGATGATGGCAGGCAAGAGGGAAGGTGGGAAGGTGGGAAACGTGGGAAAGCGAGGAAGAAGAAAGGTAAGAACTGGCAGAGCACACTCCTGGAACAATCGCCTAAAACCTAGTCGTTTTTAGGCCACAGCTCTCTGTTACAAGGGAGGCGATCTTGGCCTTCTGCCTACCAAATATGGCCTGTTGGGGTTTAAGAAAAATGGTAGTGTAGGTGGGTGTCGCCACCCATGTGTGCCCCACCCAGCTGCACCATGTGTGCCCCACCCACCTGCACCATGTGTGCCCCACCCACCTGCACCATGTGTGCCCCACCCACCTGCACCATGTGTGCCCCACCCACCTGCACCATGTGTGCCCCACCCACCTGCACCATGTGTGCCCCACCCACCTGCACCGGGGCCAGAACGGCCTCAGTCATTTGCAAGCGAGTCAAGGGCAGCCAGTTGAGTCAGCTCCACCAGATTTGCAGGAGGGGAGCGGATGGAGGTGCCTTCGAGAACCAGCTGGTGCAGCTGGGTGAGACTCTCCGGGAGGTGCCGCAAGGCCCTGCAATGAAACAACTCCAGTTTGCGCAGTCGAGCCAGGGAGCTTATGCCTTGAGGTAGCGCCACCAGCCGCGGTGCGTTGATCATTAGTGACGTCAGCTTGGAGAGCTCCCCTATGCTCCCTGGCAGCTCCTCTGGTGTCCAAGACAGAAGGCTCAGTTTCCGTAGCTCCGGAAACGCTGTGGCCATGTTTACCGGGAGGCTAGAGATGCCAGGCGCCTTGATCAGCAAGCTGCGCAGGCGAGGGAGAAACACTAAGGGAACTGTGGGTTCCTGATTGCTTCCTTTCCAGAACATCTCGAGCTGCTCCAGCTGCTCTAGTTGCTCCGGCTTCTCGAGTTGCACCCGCTTTTCCAGCAGCTCCATCAGCTCATTGAACAGGCTGCGCGGGTGAGGGAGAGAAGCAGAAAGACCCTGGAATTCTCCTTCTAAACGCATCTTCACCTCCTCCACCTGCCCCACCTGCCCAACCTGCCCCACCTCCGACACCTGCCCCACCTGGCCCACCTCCTCCTCCACCTGCTGCTCCTCCTGCTGCGCCTGCTTCAGCAACTTCAGCTGCTGCTCCCGCTTCACCTCTTCTGGCACCTCCGCCATCTGCTCTTCCAGCTGCTCCTCCAGTTGCTCCAGCTTCTGCTTCACTTGCTGCTTCACCTGCTCCTGCTTCACCTGCTCCGCCTGCTTCAGCTCACGCACGCGCTTCTCCACCAGCTCATTGAACGAGCTGCGCAGTTGAGAGAGAGAAGTTGAGAGGTCTACACCTTCTCCTCCAATCCTCTGCTCCATCTGCTCGAGCTGCTCCAACTGATTCAGGAACGAAAACCTCTCGGCCGCTGCAGGCCCGCAGGTCACCCCAACGCGGTTCAGCTTCAGCACCCTCAGCTGCGACAGTCGGGAGATGTCCACCACATGGGAAGAGCCTTCCTCAAAGGGCCCCAAGCAGAGGGTCTCAAGAGAGGGGGGCAGATCAGCAGGGGGTTCACTCAGCTGCATGCACCACGTCAGCTCCAGGCTCTTGAGCCCCACGAGGGCACACAAGCGGAAAGGTATTTCTGAGAGTGCACCGCAGTATTGGACAATCAAGATCTGAAGCCTCGTAAGCCATATAAGTGAGCAAGGAAGCATGCCGATTTCAAGGTTACTGAGCTTTAGCTCCCGCAGGCTGCTCAGCTCTCCCAGGGCTTCTGGCAGAGACTCGATCGCCCAGCAGTCATACAGCTCAAGGCGCGTCACGGAAGTCAGGTTGGTGAAGGAAGGCGGAAAGGACTGCTGCCCGCAGCCAAGCAGCCCGAGAGCCTCCAGGCTGGCAAGGGCGCCAACGTCCTCAGGCAAGGAACAGCCCTCCGCGTTGAAGACGCTGAGAACCTTGAGACCTGTGAGGCGGCAGAACCGTTCTGGCAGCTGCGAAAGCTCAGGGCAATCTGCTATGAAGAGTGATTCTAGAGATGTGAGGTGATAGAAGGAAGGAGGGAGCTCGGTGAGACATAAATCTTCCAGAATCAGCGATTTGAGGGCAGGCAGTTGACCGAAGCTGGTGGGTAAGGCTGTAAATCTCTCACAATGACAAACGATGAGGTTTTCCAAAAAGGTCAGAGAAGTGAAGCTTTCGGGCAGGTGAGTGAAACCATCGCTGTTGCGAATATGAAGCTTGCGAAGGCATGGCAGCAAATCTCCTATGCCGTCGGGAACGGTCTCTAGCCCACTGCAGTTGGCGATGAGAAGCTCCTTTAGCCCGGCGAACGGTGATGCTGATGGGAAGATGGCGTCCCACCGAGGACATGAAATCAGAAATTTGAACGATTCTAGGCAAGACGACAGCGTCACGCTTGCAGCACCCGCCGGCTGATGGTTTTGGTGAGGGGCTAGGGTGGAGAGGTGGGCGAGTCGTGGGAGGTGAAGGAGGTTGGAGAGGTGCGGAATATTCCAGGGAAAGGTGATGTAGAGGGTGGTAAGGGCAGTGAGGTTTGTGAGACTGATATTATCCGCGGCCGAGGCGTCGGTGAGAAGAAGGGTACGCAAATGTCCCAGCCGGAAAAACGAATCCGGTAGCTGTGTCTCTTGTTGGAGGCAGAAGAGCGTAACTTGCTCCAACTCGGGAAGCTTCTGAAAGAACCGATCCAATCCCTCCGTGGTTATTGAAACCTCCTTGCGATAATCTTTTCCATGTTCAGATGCAAGGCTCCTTCCCACGTGGAGGCGAGTCAGCTTGGGGCACGAAGACGCGAGGCGGGAGAGGAATGCGTCGTTAAGCGACTCAACGCTGTTGTCGCTGAGATGCAGATGGGTGAGGTTTGGGAAGCACGCGACTGCGGATGAGAGATCGTCGCGGGATACCACGAGGCCTTCTTTGACGAGTAGCGTGGTAACGCAACGCTTCGCCAGACGGCGCCAACGACCGCAGACGGACGCGATGAAGAGATTTTGAGTCACGTCTGCGTCTGAAGGAGGGGCTGGTACTGGCGTCTTGTCTATCTGATCGGATTCCTTCGCATAGTGTTTCCATGACGCGGCTGGTTGCTTGAAGGAGCGTTTGATGAGGCAGACTATTGATACTAGTGTGAGTTTCCATCAAAAACCGACAAATTTGATTGCCACGGCAGTGTGAAGCTACGTGCGGAAGAAGCGAGGATGCTAAGAATGGGTGGAGTGCAGCCAGATCTGTTGGAAAAAGGGGTTGGGAAATGAGGGTAGACGGGTGAGGTGAGGACAGCTACGAAAGGAATTAGGAGGTATTCTACAGATGGAATGCAATCGAAGGATGGAGGGCGTGTTCGATAGTGGAGTTGATACGGTTTGGTTTGGCTCGATTTTTCAGAGACGAGCCTGGGTGTTGAGGAAGATGATATTTCGATGTAACACCCCAGCCCAGGCTTCGTTTCCTCCAGCATCAGACTGGTTCCGCCGGTATGGCATTGCGTGGCGAATCACAAACCCTAGTTGATTTTAGATTCGAGGTAGGGAAAGTTCCATACTTGTTTGAGGAGGGAGATGAGGGCAGTGTTCGGTCGGTTTATTTCAGCGTAACTTCTTCATCCCAGCCCAGGATTCGTCCCTCCAGCATCAGACTGGAGCCTCGATAATCCCGAGCCTGGTCTGCCCTGTGTACGGTCGGCTCGAAATCACTGGTCCCGCCGATAGCCTGGCGAGTCACAAACCCTTGTTTCGGTTTGTTACCAGCCAGGATTGATATCGCGAAAGGCAAAGTTCCAACCAGCTCGGCGCGCATGAGCGCAGGGTGGAGCAAGTGTCGTCGCGCCGTCAAGTTGCTTGCTCTGCTTGTTCCCGTCGCGAGCTATAGCGGCTCAACCTTTGCCAGCTCGAATGGGAAGACCAATGCTTTTCGGCTGCTCGTATCCGATTCGAATGCCTCCTAGACTGCCACTTACTGATACCGGAAGCTTAGGAAACTGTAGTCACTTCTGTTGGAATCGTAGTATTCGTGCTGTTGCCTCTCATTCTGGGCCCCACGATCAAGAAGATAGTGTGACCCACCTCTCCTCCCAAGCCGCCTACAGAGACATTTATTATCCCCCGTCACGAATTACTAAAATTTGTTTTTTTCCTGGTCACGAGATACCAAGTTTATTCGCATTTCCTATTGCTCATGTTCGCGTATCAGTAAATTCCTGGCTGTTCGTGTGGCAGTGGCTAGACTGGCAGCATCGCTGCGTCTGAGGCACACCGCAGTATAGGGCATAGGGATTCATCTGCAAACGGAAACGGAGATTCCTCACCGACACGTGCCTTCGAGCCCAATATCGAATCTGAGGATAGCCCGGCTTCAGTTTCAGGAGAGCCACTGGAAACACGGAACCGCGGCTTTTAGTAGGGGGGTTGTGCGAGCGACGGCTGAGGATGGGTCTTCTGTTACTGGTGGCGGCTCTGCAACCGACAGTTGAAGCTACAGGTTACGCGAAGTTTGATCAGTCACGTTGGCAAGATTGCGACCCTGGTCAAGCACAACAGGAGAGGGATGGAGATAAAAATAAGGATATGACTTAATATAAGAATAAGGATGAACAAGGGGAGGGAGAAGGGGAGGGAGAAGGGGAGGGAGTAGGAGCGGCGGAGGCAGCAGGCGCTGCGGCAGGCGACGAGACGGGCGGCGGGGGGGACGCCTCCAAACAGCGCAAGTGGCGTTGGGAGCGGTAGGGTCGGCGGCGTAGAGAGGGGGGTGGAGGGCGGGGTGGGGGATGAAGGGGGGGCTGCTGATGGGCTGGCGGGGAATTGACAAGCTCGAATTTGCCAAGGTAAGACGCTCTGAGGGGTGAAGATACATGTGAGACTCACTCAGGAGACTGGCCAAGGGGGAGGAACAGGGGCAGTGAAGGTAGGGGTGTTAGAACGTGGGATTGAAAGTGGGTAGAAGGGGGGATGAAGCTGATGTGTGCAAGAGGCTGTGTGAGAGAGGCCGTGTGTGAGAGGCGATGAGGTATCGCCATGGGACGGGAATTAGTGTGAGAGTCACTCGAAGAACTGTGAGGGGCCGTTGAAGGGAGGGCTGCTGATGGGGCTGGCGGAGGCTGTAAAGGACGCCTTGGAGCTCCGAGGGGAGTTGTCGTCTCGTCTTGTAGAGGACCCTCCTCAACACCCTGCAACTCCCCTCCCACCCACCCACCCACCCATGCCCAACTCCCTCTTCTCACCCCTCCCATCACTCATCCCTGACTCATCCAGCTCCGCTCCGCTCCTGCTTGCTCTTGTTCCCTGCCCTCTCGCACCCACTCGTCACAGCCACACTGCTCGCCAAGGCACCACCTCACGACCTTCTCGAACCCGCCCCTTACCCCCTCTCTTTACTGTTACACTCTCCTCTTTCACTTATCCCCTCTCACTCCGTTACACACTCCCTCTCCCGTTACCCCTCCCCGTCCCCTTATCTCCTCCTCCTCCCCTTACCCCGTTCCCTTTACCCTTACCCCACTCCCATCTTCCCTCAGCTACCCTCTCCTAACCCATCTCCTTCCCCTTACCCCTTCCCTCCCCTTCCACGATGCCAGGCTCTGCCGTGACGGCGTGACCATCTTGTGGCTCATCCCCGGCGGATTCACGCGGGCCGATTGGAATGGCTGGGCCTGCAAACTGCGTGCGCAGGCCGGGCAAAGGGGATTTTGGAATGGCTTGCTCATCATCAAACGTGTCAAGCCGGACGCCTCACCTCGCTGAATTCATTGCTCGCACCCGCTGCTGCACCACCGCCGGCGGCGCCGCTGTCGAAAACGTAATGTCTGCCGCCCAGCTGCGTGCCTGCGTCTCTTACACCCCCACTCGTCGCCAGCCTGCCCGAGCCATTGCCCTTCGCTTTTCCGCTTCCCGTTTCCTTTGCTCGCGCTTTCCCCCCCCACCCTCCCCTTCTTCTTCATCCCCACTTGTGGCCCGCCTGCCCGAACCCCCATGCTATCATCACGCTATCCCTTCCATCCTTCCCTGCTCCCTCCCTCTTCCTTCTCCCCCGACCCGACCCCCTCTCACCCCCCCTCAGCTCCGCACCTTTTACTCCGTTCCTGTCTTCTTCTGCCATTTCTTGCTTCCTTCCTCCTCATCGCACTGCTCCTCTCCTTTCCGCTCCCTTCCCCTTTCCTGAGGTGAGGGACGAGCAGCAGGAGAAGGAGGAGGGCTGTAATGGGTCAGTGCTGCTGGGTCACTGTTGGGTGAAGGAGGTGCGTGCGTGGTAGTGGGCTGTTTATGCTCTCGCTCAAAGTGCCGCAGCAGGTGGCAAGACGAGACGGGTAACCGTTAAGTAGCGCAAGCGGCGTTGGCGGCGCTAGGGGCGGTGGCGGGGAGAGGGGGAAGGAGGGCGAAGGGTTGGTGAGAGGAGGGACTGCTGATGGGTGGCAGGGGCCCGGGGGCAGTTGAATAGCTGAACGTCGCCAGGCTGGGCTCTTTGATTGTCAGTGCAAGTGGCTGCAGGATGTTTGTGAGAGTGAGTGGAGGGAACTGATGGGCCCATCCCTTCTCCACCTACCCCTTCCCTTTCAGAATTTGGTTCCCGCTTCCCGACCAGCCCCTATTCGCATCCCCTCCTATCCCATCCATCCAGCCTCGCATGTGTGGTTCCTAAATCAGCGCCTTGTGTCTCCCTGATTTCTGCTGCTACCTCTAAGTTACAACCCCTTCTCGTTCCCTGTTTTCTTCCGCTTAGCCTCTTTCTCCCTTCTCTTCTTTCCGTGCCTAGCTCCCCACCTGCTTCTCCGCCACTCACATCAGCCCCACTGCAAAGGCTCAGCCTCCACAGCGCAGTCGCGCTGCTCTCCCAGGCACCATCCCCTCCCTTCCCCATACCCTCTCCCTCCCACACCCCCTTTCCCCCACCCCTCCCAGCTCCGCACCTGCTTCTCCCACGCCATTGTCGCCCCACGGATTCCTGCCGCTACGTTGGCGCGGCGCCGCACTGCTCTCACCCACGCGCTGTACCCTTTCTCCCCATACCCTCTCCCTTCCCCCTCCTTCTCCAGCCACCCCACCAGCGCTGCACTTGTTGCTCCTTTTCCTTATGGTGTGGCCGCACTGCTCTCACCCACGCACTGTCCCTTCCTCTCCCCTACCCACCTCCTCCAACCCTTCCCCTGTCTCCCCACCAGCTCCGTACCGCACCTTCTACTCCAGCACTGGTTCCTGGCCCGAATTTCTCGCCCCTTTTAAACCAGGCAGGCAGAGGCTGCTGACGTGGCAGAGGTGGGCGAGAGGCATTGGCGGCCCAAACGGCGTTGGTGGCAGCAGTGGCAGCGGCGGGGAGCACGCGAGGAGGGCGGGAAGGTGGTGAAGGGGCGGTGAAAGGGCGCTGCTGATGGTGGGGCTGGCGGATAGTAGACAAGCTCCAAGTTGCTATGGTGAGACGCTCTAAGAGATGGAGATTTAAGTTGGACGTGAGAAGGGGTCTTTAAGGAAGTGGAGGGTGGTTTAAGGAAGTGGGGTTGAGGCAAAGGAGGTTGAAGGAAAGGCGGGAGAAGGAAGTGGGGAGAGGGGAGGTGAAGTTGATGCTTGTGAGAGGCTGCATGTGAGTGGCGATGTGTGAGGTTGTGAGCAGTCACTGTGGGAGAGGGGGGGGGGGGAGGGGGGGGGGGGGGGGGGGGATGATGTATGTTAGAGTCACTCAAAGGACAGGGAGAGGCTGAATGCTGGGCTGCGGATGGAGCTGGCGGAGGCTAGAGAGGATGCGCTGGAGCTCCGGGGGGAGGTTTAGAGGACCCTTTACAACACCCTGCAACTCTCCCTTCCCACCCACCCATGCACAGTTCCTCCGTTCCCAACCCTCACCTCATCCCTGCGATTGGAATGGCTGGGCCTGCGATGTGCGAGCGCAGGCATCACCAAAAGTGTCAAGCTGGACAATGACCTCTTCTCACCTCCCCTCGCCTTGCCTCGCCTCGCTGAAATGTTGCCTCACCCCCGCCGCTGCACCACTGCCAGCGGCGCCGCTGCCGCAAGCGTAGTGATTGCACCCCCAGTTGTGCGCCTGTGTCTCCTGCACCCTCACTTGTCGTCTGCCTGCCCAACACTCATGCTATCCTTCCCACCATGGCGCCGCTCCCTTCCCTCCTTCCCTGCTCTCTCAAATTTTCTCTATATTAATTCAAACGTGTTCAGGTCAATTAATGAGAGAGCAAGGGAACTCAATTTCTACTATCCTTAGCTAACCTCTATCCTCTAATCCGGTCTCTCCCTCTCCAATCCCCTTATGTTCCACTTCCCCCCTCAACTCCTTCATGTCATTCTCTCTTGAGGATTATCATATGTGATACAAGCATCACGTTGCTCCTCTTCCCTCCTTTCCCCGCTCCTCACCCGCTTTCCAGCTCCGCACCTGCTTTTACACCCACTCCAGCCCCACGGATTCCCGCCAATACAGCACGAGCACACTGTTCACGGGAAACCTGTAGGCTTGTGGGCTGCTGAGTACACTCCGTGCCAGGATAATTTCTCTTTAACACACCTTACTGCTGATGTTCACTGGTACTGTTCATTACTGGCTGGGTGAAGAAGGTGCGTTGGTGGTGCAAGGGGCTAATCGTGGATCACCAGTGGGTCACTACCGGGTCAGTGGCAGGTCACTCTCAGGTCACTCTCGGATCATTATTGTCCCCCCATCCCCTTCCCCTTACACTATCCCATCCCCGTCCCTTTCTCCACTCCCATCCACTTCTCCATCCCCTTCCCCATCCCCTTCTCCACCACCGTCCCCCTCCCCATCCCCATCCTCATACTCATTGCCATCCCCCACTTCCGCAGGTGTGCATAGTGCAGCCATCACCCCGTCACACTATTACCTCGATCGCATCATCCCATCACACTATTATCCCATCACCCCATTATCCAATTACCCCGTTCCGTGTCTACTACATCACCCCGTTAACCCATTTCCCCAAATCATTCCCACCATCCGAAGAACATCTGCTTAGTGCCAGTGGTCTAGTGGTAGAATAGAACCTCGTGGCCCTACAGAAACCGCATGGTGGTGTACGTCCCATCGCCATTGGGGAAGTGCTACCACGCCTCCTTTCACGCTGCATCACTCTCCTTTTCAAGCAGCAGATGCGAGAGACATTCCTTCCTCACCTTCAATTTGGCGTAGCAGTTCCGGCCGGGATCGAGATTATGTCGCACGCAGTGTGCTCCGCCTTCTCCCTTCATCCAGACTGGGTGGTGCTTCAGCTGGACGTTGCAAACGCGTTCAACTCGTTCAATCGGGTTTCCATGTTTGAGGCATTAAGGCGCTCCCCATTCTCCAGTCTCATTCCCTTCTTCCGCCTATTCTACTCCACCCCTTCACCTCTCCACTACCGCAGCGGCCCCCTTCTCCACACATTCCAGTCAGCTTCTGGTGTTCGTCAAGGCGACCCTTGTGGCCCTTTCCTTTACGCCCTAACACAACAGCTAGCCATCCAACCAACCCAGCAGCAGTCTGCCTCAATTTTCATTACCTCATACGCAGATGATACCTACTTGGTCGGCCCTCCTTTAGACGTCTTTGCCGCATACACTGACCTTACCTCCCGCCTTCTCTCTCTCGGCCTTACTGTCCAACCCTCTAAGTGCTCTCTATGGGCCCCTATGGACCTGCCCGAACACTGCATTCCGCCCCCGGGTATTTCCGTCGCTGCAAACGGTCTCACTGTCGCTGGCGTTCCTACCGGCTCCGACGGTTACATCATCTCTACAGTTCGTGACAAGCTCGATTCTTTCACTACCTCCCTTCCTTTACTACATCAACTGCAGGACCCACAGATTGCCTCACGGATCCTTTCCTTATGCATCACTGCCCGGCCTTCTTTCCTCCTCAGAACTGTCGCACCTTTTCCCGAAATCCAAGAGCTACTCTCTTCATGGGACAGCACCATTTTCAGCCACTTCTCTCAGCTCCTGGGCCCCGAGTACTGGAATCCCACCTCTGAACAGTCCACATCGGCCCGCCTCCAAGCCTCGCTCCCTATCCGCTTAGGTGGCTTCGGCTTTCGCAGCTCTGCATCCATCGCCCCCCTCAGTTACCTTTGCAGCTGGGCGCAGGCAGTTTCGACCCTATCCACCCACTTCATCACTGATGGTGCTCCTCTTTTCCGCCCTTACGTCACCACGGACTCCATTAACCTCCTCGACCCTTCAATCTCATCTACCATGACCATGCTTCCCCAAGACATTCGTGATCGCTTCCCATCATGGCCTGTGCTTCAATCGGGCTACCCTCCTAAACTCTTTACTCACCTCTCCCAACACCTCGAAGCCGATTTGCTGGAGAAGGTTCGAGCCACAGTAACGTCCCCGCTTCGCCTTGCTCGTCTAACCTCTTTGCAGGGCCCGCATGCAGGTGACTGGCTCACTGTGGCTCCATCCTCCCTGCACATGCAGCTTTCAGAGACCGAGTGGCGCATTGCAGCAGCTATCCGCTTAGGCCTTCCTCTTCCTCACCTGTCATCTTCACTCACCTGCACCTGCAACTCCCCGTTCACTGATCCTTCCATCCATTCTCATGTCCTTCGCTGCCCTAGCAACAACGAGCCTACAAAGGTGCACGACGCAATCAAACGAGAAGTTCATCGCATTGCCTTGGAGCTTGGGTTCTCTGCGCAGATGGAAGACCAGCATCTCCTGCCTGGCCGCCGCACAGACATCACATGCCGCGACATTAGCTCTGGTACCACCTGGGCCTTAGATGTTTCTGTTGCTGATCCACAAAAGGGGTTTCCGCACTCCAATGCAGCTACGGTGATTGGTTCAGCAGCAGCCACTCGTGAAAGTGAGAAGACAACCCACTATGCTGCAGCACTTCATGACCGTCCGGACGTCAAACTGTTTCCCCTTGTCATCGAAACCTTCGGTTGCTTCGGCTCATCGTTCAACAACTTCCTTCGCCAATGCAGCCGAAAAGGGGCTTCACAACTCCGCGACTTGAGTGGTGCTACAGATTCTCTTCCCCTGCTGTTTGAGACCAACTTCTACAAACGGATTTCTCTGGTCCATCAACGTGAGCAGGCTCGCACTGTTTGTCGTCGTGCACAAATTCGTTTTACCGAGGGCGTCAACCACGCACCACCCGAGGTGACTTCTCTTTCTGCAGCTGACTTTGCCTACTTTGGAGAGGACCACTGAAACATCTCAGAGGCCTATTTGTAGGCCTCACAATACGATTAGCCTGCTTTCCATACACTAGGTCTCTGGATTTGCCTTGTATCCATTGTACATTTACTATAGAGTCAATAAAGAGGTAGAATAGCACCCTGCCATTAGCACGGTGCAGACCCGGGTTCGATTCCCGGCTGGCACATAGTGGTCTTTGTTTTTGCCGCAAACTGGACCATCCCATTGGACGCCCAACAAATCCCATGCCATCAACCGCTTGATAGCAGTCCCCCCGTGCATTGGCTTCGGTCCTCACTACAATGGTCGGTGTTAAATAGCTTTGGCAGGTCACTGCCTGCCCTGCCCCCGCATGTGCCCACCTCCCGTGGTTGCATGAGGCACAAGCTACGAATCAAGAGCTAGGCAGGAGAAAGGAGACTCATATGCATGCATCTTCATGTTCCTCCCTTCTGAAGGGCCTCAGCAATTGAACCAAGGAGCCAGGAGACCCATACTTATGCACATTTATGCTCACCTACTCCCATTATCTCCCTAAAAATTTGACTATGCAAAAGGTTGCTAACCTCGCTCTCTCCACCTACTCCCAACCAACCCCACTGCCCAACCCTCCCCACCTCTCTCACCGCAGCATGGCTGGGCGTTACAGCCTCCAGCTCTCTTCTACCGTCCTTGCCCGTACTCGTTCCACCCTCCCTCCCCTGCATCACCCCACCCCTCCCACCAACCCACACCTTTCCAGCTCTCCCGCCCGTCATGGCAGGGTGCCACAGCATGGACTTTCCCACTCCTCGCTTTCCTCCCGCATTGGGAGTCCTTCATCGTTTCTTCCTCCTTTCCTACCCTCCATTCCCTTAGTCAAGAACCCTATTCTCCAGCACATCATTGCGGGGCGCTATGGTGTGCACTACAGCTTGCACCTCCCCCCGCCTTACCTCGCTTTCCCCCTGTCATTGCTTTCCTCGTTGTTTCTTCCGCCTTCCCTACCCTCCATTCCACCATCCTAAACCCCACACATTTCCACCTCTTCCAGTGCATCATGGCATGGCATGGCGCTATGGTGTGCTGTGCACTGCAGCTCTCTCCACTCTCCCTTGAATGCGCATGTTCGTTGCTTCCCCTCCCCTTTATGACCCCCCCACTCCCCTCACTCCCGTTCTTCCTTCCACTTCTCCCAGCACATCATGCCGG